TAATTCTCTTTATGCGTAATCTTTCTTATTTTTCATTGCTTTCTTTACTATTAATAATTAGATAATAATGTTTGATTTAAATAAACTATGTTAATAATCTTCATCTCTCTCATTCTCTTATTTTAAAACCCTGAGACCTCGTAGTCGTTAACCTTGCCTTTTCAGAGATCGCACGTGGTCCAGTCCCGAGTTAAAAGGATTAGATTCCTTGACTCAAAATTTGGACTAACGACCGCACCGTTCGTAGGAAACAGGTGTTAAAGCGTCCTTACGGGACGTTGACCTATTTCGAAGCGAGCACAAAAGGAGTGCGTTCGACTTGCGGCACTCGCCACCGTGCGGGTACCTGCGAGAAAAGAGTCTGACCGTCCTTCCAAGTACCCTCACCGTTCCCGCTCCTTTCATTCTCCGAGAGGATCACAAACAATCAAAAATTTTCCAAGGGTTTGGACGTAACACTTATTTGTTAAAACCTTTTCTAAGTTAAATCATCTTTTTTTTCTTTACCGTGTAATCTACAAAAAATTTACTCTTCTGTCAAGGCATATTTCATTTTCCAATAATTTTTGTAACGCACAACGCATAACGGACAGGATATCATAAAACAAATTTGTACGCTCCTGGTCGTTCTTGCCTACCTTTCATTCCCAGTCTTCTTTGAAAGGCTATCACTTTTTTTCTTACAGAATAATTTAAAAGAATTTTTTTTATTAATTTGGACAGAATCCTTTCTTCAATATTATGTATAACTCAACAGTCGAAATATCGTAAAACGAACTTGTATGCCTCTGTTCCCTCTTGTTTACCTTTCCTCCTATAAGTCTTCTTTGAAAGGCTATCACATTTTTCTTACAGAATAATTTAAAAGAATTTTTTATTAATTTGGGCAGAATCCTTTCTTCAATAATTTTTATAACTCGGCAGTCGAAGTATTGTAAGACGAACATGTCCGTTCTTGTTTTATCTCTCCCTTTCAGACGTTTTTAAATTTTAACGGAAAAATATAGAAAAATCTAGGCTTTTTGCTTTTTCTCTGCGCGCGCAGAATAATTTTTGTTAAGTAACATCGGTGAGGGAGAGATGATGTCGGTAGCGTCACGAGTCCGCTTCATTCGAGTCTCGTCATTCCTAGCTCCAACTTCGTGAGCAAGGAAGCAAGTACTGTACTACTTAGTTTTGACCCATCCATCTTGGATTAATTGTGTCGTTTGGTGCTACAGCGAAGTAAGAATAATGGACAGCTTAAAAGTCACCAATAATTCGGACGAGCAAATGTACTCCAACCCGAATTCTTTCAAGTCGCGTAACAACGACGTGGGAAGAAACACACGATTTCATATGCTGTTTACGACAACGTATGATCTCAACAACTCCCATACGAAGACGATTCATGTGGGTCTGCAAAGAACGAACGAGGAAATCTTCAAGCTTCTTGTAAAATTGAGCGGAAACAATGCTGACGGTATTTATTTCGACGCCGACAGTTGAAAACAGTTTCAAGACAACATGGGCTACATGAACGAATATTTAACTAGTGATAACCGAACGAAAACGAATTCTGTTGTCATAAAAAATATCTCAGTTTTACCACATCTTACGGTGCAAAATCAATATTATTGGCGTATAAAGACGAAGAAGAGGAACTTCGTTCCACGGAAAATATCAGCGGAAATCTCCGAAAAGAAGAGGTCGCGTCTGATTCAACGCCGTCGAAGAAACGCAGAACCTTCGCTGTGGCTATTGTAATGCAGAAGACTACCTTTCTCGGTCGGCAAAACGTTGTGAAATGTGTCGACGCGCATTTAAAACAGTTAGAATCTTTAACCAATAATGTTAACAAGTGTGCGCAATACTTAATTCGAGAAATCGAGCTGAAACTTCCTGTAAGTTATGTTAATCAGGAAATTATAAAATTAACGCTACGGGGAAATTACGACGAAATTGAGCGCAATGTACGTACACAAATTAATGATTTATCTTTCCTTGATATGTATTTTAATATAATGTTTTTGGAATTAATTTCATTGCGCCGCGCGGTACAATGAAATTTCTTATATAATCCTCTCGAATCGTGAATCTTTCGCTTAATAGTTCTAAGCCGTTTTTAGATTATTCTTATATGTATTTTCCTATGAAGAAAAATTTGTATCAATAAATACATCTTTGTAGCATAAACTCTCGTTTGTTTCTTAATCATTCGTTCCCTTCCAACCGACATCTTCTTTTTTCATATTTTTTTGTCAGAACTAGATTAATAAAAACTTTTGTCATTTTTTCGAAATAAGACTAACGCTAACATAAAGTGTAAAAAAAAATGTATCCACTAAACCGAGTAAATCTTCCCAGTTCTGTTAC